TTTGTCTTTTTCCGTGTCCAGCAACGGATCGCAACCCTCAGTGTTGCCCCCGTACCGGGGACCGGCAACGGGATTGCAACCCTCAGTGTTGCTCTCGTGCCTCGCTCAGCCAGTGAGCGGGAACCGGTCTGTATGTGGGATCCGAACCCTCGGGCGGGAGCACCGCCACGCTTCCCAAGCGGCGCACTTATCCAGTGCGCCACCGGGCTGGCCCGGAGTTGGAAGTTTTTAAAGAGCCCAAAAGATGCAAGATATATCCGGAGCGATCCTACTTATCACCTTTAATATCATAAAATGGAGATTCCCATCACAAAAGGGGCTCATGGGCAAACGTAGCCTACAGATGTGTCTTTGTTTGCTGCACACAGTACTTTTTCCTTTTCTGCTTATTGTTTTGAGAATTAATTGTCTTACCGTGAATTAATTGTCTTATTTAGAAATCAGGAGATTTACATAAAAATCCAGATTCGTAGCTTCTTTTAAAAAGTCAGATCTCCAATAACACCAAGGTCAATGGTTCATCCCTACTGGTCAGGTGCCAAAAAAATAAATAAATAAATAAACAAACAAATCGTCAGAGCTGACAACACTAGTTTCTCAGTCTGTTTTGGCATTAATTTCCTGGAGCTGAGTTAAAGCTGCACCTTTGGCCAGAGCACTTGTCACTTCCTACAGCCTACTGGTCATCAGCTGCCATTCAGCTGTGTTCTTGCAGTATTGTTCATTTGTTTTTTATTCATCCGGAATGCTTTTACATTTTACCTTTGGGACCCCTCTCTGGCCATCTGAAGAGGCAAGTACTGTGTTAATGGACTGGATCAAAGCCCACAGTCAGGCTGAAAGAAGAGATTGTCCAGAAAATTGGAAACTGGCTAATAGGAGGGGAACTGGAAGCTTTCAGTAAAAGAGCTTGGCAGTGAAGGCTAAACAGAGCCAAGAAGCTCGGGGGAAGAGCAGGGGACTGAGGTGGGGCAAAAGTGGGCAGGACTGAGGAGTGACACACAGCCTAGAGATAATGCTCTTCTCCCTCCTGGTCCCCAGGGCATTGGGCAAGTTAGAGAACAAAAAAAAAATAATCCCTCTTACTACTCAAGAAGTTTTCTTTTACAAAACCATTAAACTGATAATGCTCTTCTCCCTCCTGGTCCCCAGGGCATTGGGCAAGTTAGAGAACAAAAAAAAAAATAATCCCTCTTACTACTCAAGAAGTTTTTTTTTACAAAACCATTAAACCAAACTAGCAGTGTCCTCTTTGTTTAGTTTCCTAGGGCTGTCCTGACAAACTACTGAAGTTGGTGGCTTAAAACAAAGGAGATTTATCCTTTCACAGTTCTAGAGGCTAAAGTCTGAAATCAAGGAATCAGAGGAGGAAATCCTCCCTTGTCTCTTCTAGATTCTGGTAGCTCCAGGCATTTTGGTTTGTGGCTGCAAAACTCTTAATTTCTACCTCCATCTTCCCTGGCCTGCCCTGCCTGGTTCCTCCTTTCCACTTTCAGCTCTTAGAAGGTCACTCACCACTGGATTTAGGGCTCACCTGGATGATCAGGATGATCTCTTTGTGAGATCCTTAACTTAATGACATCTGCAAAACCCCTTTTTTCCAAACAAGGTCACGTTCACAGGTTCTAGTGGTTAGGACCTGAACATATCCTTTGGGAGATCACCAGTCAGCCTACCTCACTCTTTAAAGTGGGAGTTTTACTTAAACATATAGCTCCATAACACATTTCATTAAAGGACAGAAAAATACAAGGGACTGTTTATGGTATGTGAACTATATCTTAATAGGCTGTTTAAAAAAAAAAGTGAAGGTGTGAATTATCAGCTGTGTCAAAGACTACTGACAGTCCACATAAGATGAGGACTGAGAATGGACCATTGCATTTTTTTTTATCATGGTAAAATATACATACAATTTTCCATTTTACCCATTTTTAAGTGTACAGTTCAGTACCATTAAGAACATTTAAATTGTTGTGCAACCATCACTACCACCCATCTCCATAACTGACTCTTCCTGAACTGAATCTCTGTACCCATTAAACAATAATTCTCCTTTCCTCCCTCCCCTCAGCCCCTGGTAACCACTTTTCTACTATCTCTATGAGTTTTACTACAGTAGATACAACATATAAGTGGAATCGTACAGTAGTTTCCTCTTGTGCCTGGTTTATTTCACTTAGCATGGTGTCTTAAAGCTTCATCAATGTTGCAGCATGTGTCAAGATTTCACTCCTTTTTATGGCTGAATAATATTCCATTGCATGGATAAACCACATTTTGTTTATTCATTCTTCCATAGATGGACTGATACATCCACTGGTGTCTCGGTTCAGGCTGTTATAATAAATTACCATAGACTAGGTCAGTTAAGCAACAAACATTTATTTCTCACAGTTCTGGAGGCTGAAAAGTCCAAGATCAAGGTGCCAGCAGTCCAGTTTCTGCTGGGGCCCACTTCCTGGTTTACAGATGGCCACTTCTCATTGTCTCCTCACATGAGAAAGATCAGAGAAAAAAACTAGTTCTCTTCCTCTTCTTAGAAGGACAGTAATCCCATCATGCAGGCTCCAGTTGCATGACCTAATCACCTCCCAAAGGTCCACCCCCAAATACCATCACACTGGGAATTAGGCTTCCAATATGTAAATGTGGGGGGACACAAACATTCAGTCCATTGCACTTGGGTGGCTTCCACCTTCTGGTTATTGTGAATAACACTACTATGAGCATCGGTGTACAAATATCTGTTAGTCTCTGCTTTCAATTCTTTCAAGGATATATCTAGAACCAGAATTGTTGGATCAGACTGCTGGATTTTAGCAGCATGGAAGTCACTGATGGCCTTGGCAAGGGTACCCAGATTAGAATAGGTTTAAAAGAGGACAGAAGATAGTAGGGATAGCAAGTAAAGGCAACTCTTAAGATATTTTTCAATAAAGGGGAGCAGAATAAAAAGAGCACAACAAAGGAGAGGACTGAGTATAAGGTCTACAGAGGAATTTGATGAGACATAACAGCAGGTTT